AGACTTTGCAGCTGTCCTCATCCACGCCCGGTGCAGCGCACCACATGTTGATGTTCACGCCCGATGCTCCATGTTCTCTGTATGCCCGGTCGGTCGGCCGGTCGGTCAATTTGGCGAACTTGATGCAAGATGCAGCGACGTATCTGTGTCTGTATCCGTACCATGAAGAAACGGCACCACAACACAGCACAGCACAGGGTATCCGTACACTATCCGTACGCAGTGCAGACACAACAGAGGCGTGGGCAGCAGGAAAGAGACCGGGCCAGAGACGGGGCATGGCGCAAAAGACATACTACGTAGGAACCCACCACAAAAAGACCAGACGGCGGCCAAACCAAACATGGACTCCAATGCAGTGGTAACACTAAAAACCCACCTCGCTGGGAAAGTGGTGACTGGTCACAGCACGGTGGCTCCCATGGCTCGTCGACGAGTGGAATGGCCCCATGCCGGAGACGAGATCCACAAATGGGGCGGGTCCCCCTCCTGCTGGTGCTGGTGCTGGTGCTGCTAAAGTGTGAGAGGGGTACGTACCTACCTAGCCGTACCGGAGGGAAGGACACACCAGAATTGCGACAGACACCCGACAGCCCAGAGACACATTCCAGCCAGCCAGCACCAAGCATACCAAGCGTCAGCACAGGCACTGGGACACTTGGGACCGGGGATTGGGACTGCGACTACGACTGCGACCAGGGGTGTGCTGTGTGTGGAATCGCGAACTGTGTGGATGGCGGTGGTCGTGGCGGGTGGGGAGACGACGATACGTACCGCCAGAAACCCATCCCAGCAACAATCCACAATCCACAATCCACCTCAGAGGCTCAGGTTCTCTCTTCCATTGGGAAGCACGGAAGTTGGGTTGGACGAGGAGCCTGCCCGGAGGACGGAAGACGAGGGAGGGGCGGCGAGTGGGCGTGTTGGAAGACAACGACGAACAACAGCAAGGTATGTACATACTCCGTACTGCGTACCCGTCCCGGTCTCTGCTGCGCTCACCTCTCACCTCTGTGATTGTGAGGTGGTCACTGGTGAATGAACCATGGCCATCGGCTGGCACAAAGGGTGGAGAAGACGAGGCCCAGAGAAGCGGGGGGCCCTGATACCTTCCAATTGGGAAGAATGTCCGAGCTTTTCTGGGTTCTGCGATGTGCGAATCTCTGGCACTGCAAACACTGGGAGAGCGGGGCGCCCTCTCACTGGGAACAGGAAAACTGGAACCGTGTCCCCCAAGTGGGGTCTGCCTGAGAACCCTGGCAACCCTGTCCAGAACCACTAGGTTGCAGATATCCCTGTCCCAGGAAAGAGGCACAACGGGACTGTGGGAATTTGCTAGAGGTGGGTCTCCAGGCCCCGAGATTCGCACGGAGCTGGCTCTTGTATATGTCCGGAGCTTAGCCCATCGGGGACGAGGGGGGGAAGTGTCTGTCTCCCTTGTCCAATCCCATTCAAAGTCTCTGTCTTTCTCTTGCTCTCCCTCCCATGGGAAGCCGAGGAACCCAAACTCTTTGAAGGTGGTGTTCGTTCCTGAGTCTGACATCCGTGATACACGTCTTAGCTAAGATCCCTCCCCTCATCGTACATACATTGTGCCTCTGCGAACTTGCAGCAGCAGGAAGTAAGATGTGCAGAGTCTGGAACCTGGCTGATTGCATTGCATGTGAGGCTCAGAGACAGACACAGGCACACACAGGGAGTAGGTCTTTTCGAAGCCTGAAGGAAAACGACCTCTCGAAAGACATTCTCGTTGCATCCGCGGAGAAGAAACAAAAACACATGTACCGGTACGCCTCACACAAACAAACAAACACCCACCATCCCATCCCGCATCGTCGGGTGCGCTACCTTGGGGGAAGAGGCTCGGCATAGGCATAGGCTATATTAATATGCTCCTTACTGTCTCTCTCACTAAAGCCAGCTCACGCCCCCAGGTCATGGTTGTTGGTTTTCCAGCTGCCCAGGTCGAAAGAAACCTTCAGAAGGGGCGGTAAGCGATCAGCTAGCTTAGCTTGCCTAGAAAGATGGCGCGCGCCATTGCTCATATCCAGGCGTTCCGTAGCGTACTTGTTCCCACATTGAGTACCTCTAAGCAACCAAGGTGTACTATGGAAGACTGAGTAGACAGCTTTTTGTGGCTGATGCAAAAGTACCCTACCAAGCCAACTAAGCCCTGGATTACTATAGCCCAGACTGCGAATAGGGATATGGGATTGTTCGTTTGTAATTAAAAACTTTGAGGAAACCCCCCCTCAACTTTGTGGCTAGGTTGTTAGTTTTCAGCCTTCCCGTCCACATCCCTTCTTAGGCTCTTAGCATTCCAGCCGCTGCTGGACCTGTCTCATTGATCATTTAGATTCCGGATGGGAAAAGGGCGGTAAAGGCCAAGGAAGAGAACGGGCGTACGGGACCCGAGAGAGAGGAATGGGAAGAACGGGGTTGTGTGTTTGTTGGGTTGGGGACCAGAAAGCTGGTGTTGAAGAAAAAGCCGGCAACCAGAACCTCGGATCGAACGAGAAGAAAGACAACAAAAAAAAAAAAGGTCGAAACGGATTCGTCAATTGGCTGCACACCTTTTTTGCCGTAAGCGATGTTGCTACTCCGTACAGTACCTACCATTAGAGATATCATTTGCGGGCTGCGAAATCTAGATCGACTCGGCGCAATCAGAAAAAAGGGGAGATTGGAAAAAAAGAAAATAAAAAGAGACCAGACCAGACAGCTACGAATTGTACGGAGTATCACCGACCACCTTATTAGTCCTAGTCCCTTCAACCTGCGGTATGTTGTGCACCACTTACTCCGTACCTCATCCTAAGGTACGGATACCTATCGTTCGAACGGGACGGATGGGGGGCCCGCCATCTTTTTGATAGCAAGCCGGACCCGAAATGGTTTAGTCGGACGGGCCTCCCTTTCCCTTCTTTTTTACCTTCCCGCACCGGGTCGCGGATATAAGTGTACTCTTTCTGGGCGTGCTAGCCCAGATACGCAGTAAGGTAGAGGCAAGAGGACGCTTTCCCCGGCGCCCCGTTCCTCGGCCCATCTCCATGCTGTGGTTCCTGTGGTTCTCGAATCTCAGAAAGGGTTATCCGTACGTACTTAGTTGAGAGGTACGGAACCGGGTACCGCAACGTCCTCCACTTTGTTTGACCGATGCGATATAAGATGCAGGCGCAGGTCGCAGGGAGATACGGGAAAACCCACACCACTACCAAATAAAAGGGGAAGAAAGAAGCGTATGGGTTGGTTGTTCATTGAATGAGCCGAGGAACCTCCACTTCTTTCGTTGTCCATCCGAGCTTTTCGCGCGACATCTGTTCCCCCCTTGGTTGAGTCTGGCCTGGGCTGATAATATCCGTTCACGCAACGAACTAGCAACGACACCCGGGAAGTAAATGCAAAACCCCATGTCAACCATCTGACGAGAAACCTGCGTGAGGAGCCAGAAGTGAGCCGCAGCCCGACAGGCCTTTGCGTGGCTTGGGGCCCGTCCTCCCCAAGCTGGAAAGAGTAATCCGCAAGAATCAATCAAACAATGGGATTGGACACTTCATCGGAGACCAAGGGGAAGGAGGGGGGGGGGGGGGATTAAAGTAAAGTAAGGCATCACGGCATCTCGCCTCGTTGGAAATCCAACCTCTAAGCTACGTACCCTTGCCCCCCTCCTCTTTCCCTTGGGGAGCCAGGCCAATGGAACGAGATGTCGGACCTAGCGTCCCCAAAGAGGAATACACCGTTCTCCGTACCTGTTCGTACATATTTTGGGGTATCGTGAGGAAGGGGGGGAGGACAAGCGCGTGGTCCAGCGATCAAACGTTCAGGTACGGAGAATAGGTAGACACGCCTCATTTTCGAGGAGAGGCTAAATACGGGTGGTTGCACCTTGTTCATTTCAATGTGCATCCATCATACCTTATCATCACCTCCCTCTTCCTGCTTTCCCTCAGTACGCGCGCCAAAGACGATTTGAGCATCCGGGAGACTTCAGAGAGTTGGACTGCAAACGATACGTACTTCGCAATGTAATAAGACTGTCTCCTTCTGGACTACGTACCCAGGCATTGCTCCGTCCATCATCCGAGACCCCGTCCCTTGCTGATCAGGGCAAGTTCTCTTTAGAAGTCCAGAGTCTAGACTTCACAACATGGCCCCATCTTCCAGCCGAACGAAATCTCTATTAGGTTATTAGTGAGGTTCACTTGCGCCGCGATGTGACTTCTAAACCGTTAGGCCTCCCCCTCGTCGCCCCCCTCGCCCCATTCCAATCCCAACTGAACCCCCGGGCGGATGGTATTCCCGTCCATAAACCGACGACGATCCCAGTACTTCATCCCCGAGACCACCCACCCCAGGATCAAGAAAATCCCGTCAAAGGGGAAACTTCACGTTCCACAATCCCGAGGAGAAGGATAGGATGGCAGCAGTGGTGAGGCGAAGCAGCAAGGTAAGGGTTGGGTGAGAAAAAGGAAGAGGGCGAGGAGGGATTGAAATTCCGTTACCAACAGGAAGGATTGGCGAATCCATCTTGGCAAAAGCCCGACAAGCCGCAAACCTGCCTGCTGTTCGGCCCTCGTGTTTATTCGTCAGAAGTCTCCGCTTTACCGCTCCTTTACCTCCTCGTTGTCAGCACGTGTCAGATATGAGTCGATCTGGGGTGTGTATCCGTATGTGTGTGTGTTTGTGTGTGTGGTGTCCTAACGAGCGGGCGGTCTCCTGAGCCCGCAGGCGGAGACTGGTTTTCCCCTTGCTCATGGCAAAAGCCCATTTTCAGGTTGCGTCCTATTCTTCCTCCAGCGGTTGGGATTGTTTGCTTATTCTTCTCTTGAAATGCTGTCTTGTCTGTCTCACTCTCGTCACAGTTGGTTCTTCTGTCAGACTTGTCTCTGAGCCCACTGAGGTATCCGTAATAACCCCGTTTGCCCATTGTCCGGATACCCGATAGACTGTCCCACGTATCTGGGTGCCCTGCACTAGCCACTTTCTTATGGGTTGGTCTTTTAGGTTGGGTTTTCTCGTCGCCGGAAGGGGGGATTTGCACTGTTGGATCCCTTGGACGGGCTGGTGTGGATTTCACGTTTGGGCGGATAGGACAGGGATTGAACGGGGGCCTGGCATTCGGTACGGTTGGGCCACTTCTTTCCAAAGCTCCCGGTGTATGCGTGTGTTTTTGGGCTGTCTATTCTGTTCCAGTGTCATTTACTACGGAGCAACACTGCTCATACTGTATCTCACTCTCATGAGATTCGTCGGGGGGAACGGGACACGACTCTCTGGGCGCATCGAGGCCCAGGCGCTCTGCGGAGACGGAACGAGAGACGAACTCGAGATTTCCCATGGGCCCATCAGAGATTCAGAGCCCAAGCACCGGGGCGATGCAAGCGCACTGCACAATTCATCCCGTCTTCTCCAGCACAAACCAAACATGAGCAGTCGCGGGATTATGTAAGGAGCGATCTGGACCGACCCGTCTATCAACCTTAGTCCTTAGGTAAGAGGTATCCGTGCAAGGTGTACCTGAATACTTGAGGTACCTGCTGCGTAAGGACTGGGTCCAAGCCTGTGTAAACAGCGCTGGAAGGACCGACTTCCCGAGACGCTCTGTCGCTTCATCGCCAGATGCCCCAGAGGTACTGGGCCTGCCCACCTCACGATGTATGGGGCAGGAGCCAGAGTGCGAGAGCAGGCGCAAGAGAAAGAGCAAGAGCAGAACTTCGGCAATCGCCAGCATTGGAAGGAACCAGCAGCAGCGACAGGCCAGGCAAAAGGAGCCACGAACGGTTGAATTGATGAATCACAGCCAGGCCCCTGCTGCGTTACCTCTCGCAGGGCTTGGGTATCGTACGCTTCCAGCCCGGTCATCTAGCCTGATGCTCCCGTCACACTGTTTAACTCCATCGTTTTGCATTACTAGAGGATTGCCGTAGTATATGTAGACGCTACCCTGCCCTCGAATTCCGCACTATTTAACCTTAACCCTTTTCTCTCCTATCCTTTCCTCTATTCTACCCTCTCCCTCGTTAAGGGATCGCTAGAATCGTAGTTTCGATAGCTTATTAATAAGCTAATATTACTATTTAGAGGTAAGTAACCTATTTTTATACGTAGGTACTAGGAGTTTTATTATTATAAAAATAGTAATAAATATACTAGAGTACTCGAGAGAGCTTTTTAATAAATTTTTAATACTATTTAAAGTAATTATCCTCGAGCTATAAAAAGAAGCCGAGGTACTATATTAATACGGCCCTATTTATTTCGTTAGTACTAATAATACCCTTTTTAGCATAAAATATATTAATAATACTCTATAACCGCGTTACTACGCTTTATAAATCGTACTTAATAATAATAAGGATTCTAGCGTTTTTTTTTAAGTCTTTTATTAAAGTTATTATCGTAGGGTTAGTTTAGTTATTAATATTTTAATAAGTATTTTAACTTAACTCAGAGGTTCTTATAGCTCTTAATAAGAGGCTTTTAAAGGACTTATAACTAGACTTTTTACTTATTATAAGCGAAGCTATTATAATTAAAGCTATAGCGATTAAAGCTATAGCGCTACTTATAGACCTCGATAGTAAGTAGTTAGTAATATAATTATTTTTTTTATATAATAAGCTTAAAAAAGTATCTTAATTTAAGTACTAAGTAAGTACTATACTGTTTTATTAAAACTATATTCTTATACTTGTGACTTAGAAAGAATTAACTTTCTTCGATAACAAGGTACTCAGATGCTCCCGTCAAATCCCAAACTCCTTTCGACTTCCAAGCTTCCAGCCCCCAACTCCTCGAAAGGCCTTCTCTTTTGGGCCGGCATCCACGCGAACAATAACCTGGCCTGCTCTTCTCCCCCACTTTCATCTTACGGCCGCAATCATATCTGGTCACGGTTTGTCTCAAGAATACACATTACACAGTGCCCTCGTCAATCCCAGCCTAGCGGTCACGACAATGCTTTTTTTTTTTTTTGTTCGAGAAGCATTGGCACGGGCGCTTAGCTGTCTAACGCGCAGAGATGCCTTCTCTGACCTCTCTCCCAAAAATCGCCCGCCTCTTTCAATGTGACCCCAAGGATCTGGTCCAAGGCAAACAGAGAACCACCGAAGCCGAAACAGCTTGTTGGGATACTCACCCGCGGGAGACAAAAGCAGCGAACGGCACAGCTCGATCAATCAATGCCAATGCACGAGGCGGTCAGACATCACCGCCCGCAAAGTCTTAGCAACCAGAAAACGTCAGACCTGCCAGGCCTGTAAGGCTGTCTTTGGCAACCGCAACATGCCCTGTTTGGGCTGCTCTGACCAATGCCTACATACGGACACATACTTGAATACGGAGTACAGATACCTTTGCTGTATTCTATTCTAGCCTCCAACTGCGGATACCTATTCGTTCAAAGCTACGAATATAGACACACGTCCACCGCGGACGGCTACACAGGACACGCCTTTGCTTTCACACGTACTATCTCGGCCGAAGGGGCACTGGGTTTCTCTCCACCCCTTATTGGTCTCTTGCACCGAAACGACAATGTTCCATGCGTGCTTCTACGCCATCTTTTGCTTATTGACATGCGCACGTTGAACGACGTACCCATATGTCGACTCATCTTTGTGTCACTACCCATCAGGATAGCGGACAGTGTCAACGTCGAATGTCAAAGTCGCTGTCGACGTCAACCTAGGGTTTCGGCGCCACGCAAACACGAGTACTAACGCATCAGACACGGGTGCAGCTACAGCTGCAGGGAACCATCGCCATACACTTTGCCTCGAATTTACATCACATACACGGTAACCCAGGGACAGCCGGTGTCTACAATGCAGCGACCCGGCCAAAGGCAGACAGAAAATTTTCTGGGCCAGTCAGGCACTCGCCCACTTGCCTGACACTACATAGATATAGAAGAATCATGCCACCCCGCAGCTGCACAGCGGTGCACCGCATCGCAGCTCCGGAACATCACAAGCTGCATACCGGTGACACCCACTGTTGTCACTCCTCCTGGGCCGGCCTCGGGGAGGCGGGCAATTCACCCTATGGTTGCTCTGGGTCCGCGCTGCGGGGGCGGGATTCTCGCTTGGAGATATGGCTGAATCGGCCGTAAACGATTTGACGGAACCCTGACGCCACGCCACCCGATTTACTTTGCCTCGACACGCGAACCGAAGACGGCCACCTTCTTCTACCCACGCGGCCGGGTCCAATTTCGATGGCTGCCTCATCAAAAGGCACATTGTGGGCTTGGGGCGTTTGCAATGGATCTTATCCACGAGCTTACCTAGGCCAGACCCGACCATCATCTCGGCGGACGATTCAAGTATTCCCACTCGGCCGACGGCAACTGACAGATTACGAGCTATATCTTCCAGGTTCCGCCTTTGCCAGACAAAGGGGCAAAGACTCCATGACACGGGAATACTAGCTATCGCCCCTGTTCCCAATCCGGACTGCGAGGCAAAAGTCAAAAGTCAAGATGCAGACCGGCTGCAACAACGTCTTTCAGTGGCAGGTGAGAGATGACACGTCCTGGTGGACGAGTTGCCGCCAACCTGCCTGTATCCAATCAAGCGTGTCGCCGGCGCTGCAGGCGGGCAACTATTGGTGCAAACATCGTTGCAGACGACCAGGACTCTGTAAAGACCTTCTTTCATGGATTAGGTACAGACAGGTGTTTTCGTCATGTGCATCAACCAGCCCCCGACTCAGGGTAAATAGGAGCAACGTGGGATCGTTCTGGCCAACGAGCAGTGACTGTTAGAACCAACCGCATAGCAGCCGCATATGACCCGCCGCCCGCCGGAGTTGGCGATCACGGCGATGATACCCTCCAAAGAAAATAAGCCCATCTGGCCAGTCGGGTCGATGAAATCTTCAGCAATCATATCGAAGTTCTGCCAGCCGAGGGACGACCCTCTTAGAGTTAGCGGTCCCAAGCTCTCAAGAAGTTCCCTGAGCCCCGCTCGAATACCACCCGTGGACAGCATCGATGCAACTGGCCTCAATTCCGGCTCCGAGCTTTACTGGAAACGGTTTTCTCTGCATGGTGCGGGGCCCGCGGAAGGACAGCCCTCGACAACTCTACCAGAGAAACCAGACGGAGGACTCAAACAGCTCAACTTTGTGTCGTCATGTCACGCACGACTCGAATGACTTGCAGCGGCTACATCTCCTCGACCCTTTCGTGTGCATGTATTGACCAGGAAGATTTTTCTATTATTTTGCAAAGCGGCCGCTTCCCCTCTTTGTTGATTGCTGTTACAGGATGTTCGAATCGGTTCGGACTTCATGGACTCCGTCTCACTTGTCTGTCCTTGCTCTAATGGGATGGGTCTTGGAGGTCAAGTAATTGACCGGCACCTCGGTCGCACCAGATGGAGCCCCTTTGGTGGCAGATCATACCCGCCGACTAATGAAGTCTGCGGGTTTGAGTGGCGCTACGGAAAGATTGGCTTGGATCGACGCTCCCATGTGTTGATTACCCGTCGGACCCTTTTCTCTAATTACGGAGCACGTCTTGGACATCCTAAAGACACACATCGAATGTGCATGAACTAGGAACGATTGGTATTGAATTGCGTTCTGCCTACGCAGTTGACGTCTTACATTCCATTTGTCACTGTGCCGGGTTCAACCCAGGACAGCTGAGCCAGAGGGTCGGGGAACCCCAGCCAAGTGGTTGACGGTGTGGGCGGCAAAGGCTTTGTTCGCTCTCTGTGTCTATTTCAATCTCATCTCTCTGAGTACCTTGTTATCGAAGAAAGTTAATTCTTTCTCAATCATAAGTATAAGAATATAGTTTTAATAAAATAATATAATACTTATTTAGTACTTAAATTAAAATACTCTTTTAAGCTTATTATAAAAAAATAATTATATTATTAATTACTTATTATTAAGGTTTATAAATAGTATTATAATTTTAATTATAATAGTTTTATTTATAATAAATAAAAAGTCTAATTATAAGTCCTTTAAAAACTTCTTATTAAAAACTATAAAAACCTCTAAATTAAATTAAAATACTTACTAAGATATTAATAACTAAACTAACCCTATAGTAATAATTTTAATAAAAAACTTAAAAAAAAATACTAAAATCCTTATTATTATTAAATATGATTTATAAAACGTAATAACGTAGTTATAAAATATTATTAATATATTATATATTAAAAAGAGTATTATTAATATTAATAAAATAAATAAAATTATATTAATATAATATTTTAACTTTTTTTTATAACTTAAGGATTATAACTTTAAATAGTATTAAAAATTTATTAAAAAGCTCTTTTAAATACTTTAATATATTTATTATTATTTTTATAATAATAAAACTTTTAATACTTATATATAAAAATAAATTACTTATTTTTAAATAATAATATTAGCTTATTAATAAGTTATTAAAACTACGATTTTAATAATTTTTTAATAAGGGAGAGGGTAAAATTAAAAAAAGAATAAGTAATTTATAAAAAGGGTTAAGGTTAAATAGTGCGGAATTTGAGGGTAGGGTAGTATTTATATATACTGCGGCAATCCTCTAGTAATGTAAAACGATGGAGTTAAACAGTGCAAATCTTATCTCTCAGATCTGCCAATTGGGGCTTTCGGTGGCTTCGCAAACTCTCTACCACGAAGGAGAGAAGATCTGTTTCCTCTCTCACCGCCTGTCCGAAGCCAATCAGCGGCTGAACCATTGTTTTGGGAGTTCAACTACCTTGGACGAAGGATTCTTACAACCAGGGCATCAGAGGGAGTTGAACCCAAAGAGGCAGCTTCATCCTCGATAGGTTTCAATACGCGTGCCCAGACTTGCAGGCCAGATCCACCTCAACCTCTGGATTGCCCAATTGGCTCCTTTACGTGAGAGGCTTTATCTTTTATGGTTTTATTGCCACAACCAACACCTCGATTTGGAGATGATCCTTCAGTCAGCTGCAAAATTGCTGTTGCCAAGCTCAGCTCAGCTCATTTCAAGGGGGGCCAATAGGTGTATGGAACGGCAACATCAACAAAGAATGCTGATCTAAACTTGTGGTTTTAGAAAGTCATACCGACCTTACAACCCGACCAATTCTGGAGACCTAGGCCGAATCCCATGGTCTCACAGGGTAGCTAACCCCTACATTCCAAATGCCACGGGATAGATGGAACGTATCGACAACAACAAATACAGCCTTGCAACCTTGGCGGGGCAAAAACGCCGTCACCTCCTGCGTTTCAGGGTCGCAGACTACGGATACGCCGAACCAGGTCGCCGGCGTATCGACAGCTCCCCCAGCCGCCAGTCTCATTAGCCGCTACGAGTGCCTGGCATGAACAGATCTTGCAAATCTGCGGCGCCTTCGCGCCCACCCGCTGTTATTTCCGGAACACCTTACCACCTCAACCTACTGTGTAATACGCCACATGTCAATCCAAATTCCCAAGCAGACGGTGCGCCGCTCTCAACGGTTTCGGTGCGGCGGCTCGAGTTCGGTAGTGATTGGCGTCGGGGGCGTCCGTCATGAGACCTCCCCATACCTCCACTTTGGGATACCGCTTCGTTGCATTGATGACGTCCTCTGCGTGGCTGCGATGGGCTTGGGCGCGTCGATTTGGCTCCATCAGAGCTTCCAAATCACAGGTCAATGAATGCTTCTTCGAGCGCCTCCTGTGACCTGCCGTCTGCGTATCACGTCTGTCCTGGAAAGTACTCTTCCCTTGTTTCCTAGGCCTCTGCCATGAGTTTATGGCTGACAGGCGCAGAGGGTTACAAGTCAGTGACAATTTCCGCAAACCCCATCTATGGCGTATGCGAATATCCCATTTTCACAGCAGCATACACAAGAGCGTTTCTTCTCGTGAAGACTACCCGTACTTTTTTCAGCCGTGTCGTTGAACTTGTTGCACGGGTTTCGTCTGATCGCCGCGTCTTCTGGAATTCTCAGCCTCCCCGGTCCCTGTCAAACGGGCCGAGACGAAGCGTCATCTCTACTCATTTTCCCCCTCGGGCCCCTCTCCCTTCCTCTGCGGGGACCGACACGATGAACCGCTATGGAATTTTGACTTCTGACTCTGCTACGGTACGGTAGCATTGGAATTTCGCCACCATTTAGTTTTCAGTCGATTTCTCATTGTTTGCCAATTACCAAGGTCGGGGTGTGGGCAGAAAAAGAAAAATAGAAAAACAGAAAAGATGAGCGGCACGGCGGGTATCCCGCTTGCCGGTTTTTGAATGTAGGTCGTCCCCGGGGTCCTTGTCCTTGTGCCGGCCCGGTTCGCGTGACTTTCCTGACTTGTAGGTCAACGCCGTCCGGTCACAGAAGGACTGCCCCCAAATGGCAAAACTACACAATAAGGTACCAATATCCACCCCCTGTTTCCTTGTTGGCGATCATTACCGTGGCCGCTGCCAGGTGAGAGCCAGTTGTGAAGCTTTGTATTTCTAATCTGCTGTTTCTTGGGGGCCGTGTTAGATTGTCATCGTCGCTGGGACAGAGGTAAATCGACTCGCAGACGTTGAGGCCGCTACCCCCGCGAACCCGGACCCGAATTCTGGTCCGGCTTGACGTTGAGGAAAGTTTTTGGTATCCTTGCTGCTCCGGGGCACAAGGCTTTGAACTTAGAGACAGCGTGGCAGCCCACCAGACGCATGTTTTCGACAGCGTGGCTCACAGGGGTCTTGGCGGCTGTGCTTAGAGTTTCCATGTTGCAACTCTATTAGAGTTGTGGTTGTCCCTGATAGCAATCGTCGCAAGGTGTAAGTCAAGCTATCGTGACTATTGTTGTATTCTAGGGGGCTAATTGATATCGAAGACTTGATAAACTCCCATGGTCTTGGCAAGGGGGCTTTGTCTTCCGAGTCCCCTTTCCCCTCGCCGGCTCACGATACTAAACAACTCTACTCTGTACGCGGCGAATATTCGGCGGATGCGATGCGGTATACCCTGAATTATTCGGATCTCGGCCACGCTGGGAAACTTTGAGGTCATCGGCGGACTGATCGGAAGATTGTGGATAATTATTGTCTGTGAAACGGGCGTTTGGGGAGAAAGCGCAATCTTGGTCCATTTCGGCCCCGGATATCGTTCATGTTGACCGCTTCGAAGAGAAGGCCGAGGCGCGCGCAGAGTTCGCAATCGACTTTCTCTTGGCCAGCGAAATTGCCATTGACAAAGTTGTCAGTGCGGTTCACTCTAGGGGGAAAACGAAGCACGCCATCTTCCGTCTCGTGATACGGGGATTGCTGCTCGTGTATCATCACAGGCTGGGTTTCATCCTCGATGCTGACGACGACACAATTTGCAGAGTTGCATGTTGAGTTTTGTTCACAAGTCGGGAATGCTCGCTCTCGCAAAGACTGCGATGGGTTGCTGAAGGAACCTGGACAACGATGGTGACATTTCGCCAGGCATGCTCACCATCGTGACTGGGGTTTAAGGATTGCGGACCCCCTTTCTTGTCGAGGTCCATACGCGCGAATCAACCATCTAGATTATAGACCGTAGGCCCTTCTCACCTTATCTGGATGCCGTCCAGCTTTGGTGAGGGCACAAACGGAACAGGGTACTTGGTCGTTCTAGAGAGAGGCAGGGGGGCTTCCAACAGCCAGAATCTCTGTACTTTTGTGAAATGCGATAACTGTCAGGAGTTAATCCAGTCCGCGCTCAGGTCTGCCAATAGCTATGCCGGAGATGCCTCTAGATAGCAACAAATACGAAAAAGATGCTTAGCTATTGGGAGTAGAAACTTCAGACACGATACCCGCAGTCGTCCCCCCCTGAAGCACGAAGTACTCGAGGCCCCTTATCGACGAGCTGGTAATGAAGGCATTCGTAGATTCGAGTTTCGAGCAGTCACCATACTGCGTATACAACTGCCGCGAACACCATCCGAACGTGCCTGATCGATAACGTACCTGTATCAAAGTGCCGGGGAGGGAACAGGCATGCGGATGGTGGTGTTCGAAATTCGACGTGCGCTTGTCCCTTGCAAAGCCTGCAAAGGGCCGATTTACTTTGCAACAGCATATCTAAACACCGATAGCCTGGGGTTTGTTTCCCACCCTCAAAACCCCCATCGGCATTGTGTCCGAAGACTCGTTGACTTGGCGCCTTGGTAATTACTCCGTGCTCCGTCCGCAGGTTGTAGTGAGGGTAGAC